AAGAGAATAAACAGATAGGGACAGTGTAAGGTGGAAGCCAAATTGTGACAAATCAGGTGAGAAGAGGAACAAGCATATCTGAACAAATTGTGCCTAAGCTAAACTATATTTAGGTGTGGCGTCTGCTAAGTGAACAATTCCTGCTGATCATGTGGGTGGCTGTGGGAAGAATTTTGTGAAACACATTAAAATGCCAAACAATAATCTCCCAATAAAACCCAGAAGATACCAGATAAGATATCAGGGTTGTTTTCTGTGTTTAATTACATGTATGATCATACTAAATGAACAGGAAAGTGCCCTTTTCACTTGAAAAAATAAAATGAAACCCCAGGAAGAGGCAGTAAGAAAATACTGTAGAGAGTACTCAGCTTAAATAGTACTTTTAACTGAGGAAGCTTTCATATGACAAAAGAACCTTTCTTTTGTTTCCACTTTTACAAAACATTTACTAATTACTCAGTTTGCACACACTGAAACACTGAAAATATATATATATATATATATATTATTATATAGTATATATATAATATGGTATTAATTTTTTGATGCCAACTTACCATTTTAGGGAAACTTACTATTAATAACCAACTGATGTTTCCAGGTAATCCAGGATGAGTCAGGCTATTCATTATTGACAATCACTTGGGGGGTGGGTTTGGCGGGCTACTTGTGGTGCGATGTGAAGTTCAAATTATGAAGTGCTTTCATAATACAGCTTTCCCTGGGCATGAATGGATGCTTAATTTAAGTTTTTTGTTTGGTCATTACAGCATCCATTTGACTGATTACCATCTTCGAGCATCTCTGGGCACAAAAGCAAAGCACAGCTTATAACTTATAAAAATACAGTGTAATCTGGATGCCCATCTGGCATCATTACTCATACTGTAAGAAAAGTTCCCCAAGAAACTGAACAAAAAAGGGCAATCGCAGCATCAAAGACAAAATGATGAATCTATTAATGCAAGAATGCAGTGACTACACTTGCCGAGTAGACTGCATTACTGTGAGTGAGCGAGTGAGTGCGCGAGTCACGAGAAATCTATACTAGATACTAGACAGGAGATTTCAATTAGCAACAATATTTAACCAAAATAAAAAAATACTACAACTACACCAGATATAGACTTATTGACCATAAAACTCGCTGCTGAAACTGGCATAAAAAAGAATGGGTAGAAAGGAAACAAGAGAATTTGATACCCATTGTGAAACAGGAAAGTTGGAACCGAATATAATTCTTTTCACAAGCTGTCAAGAATACGAAGAAAATTAGGAAATGTCTTCCTTAGTCATGGCGGACAAAAACCCAATAGAGGCCATCCCACAATGAATTCTGCGAAAATGTTAAATGTTTAAAGAAAAACTAATAATGCCTGCCCAGAGCTGAACTGGGAATTTTCCATTATTATTTAAACATCAGAAATGGGAGTATTTAGACACATCTAAATTAAGCCCAAAAAATAACACTTTCATTCTGAAGCACTAAAAAGCCAAGAGTAAACCCTGAAAACAGTCCCCAGTCAGCTGGTGCATGAAGCTAATCAACCAGAGTAGCACTGATTCTAAACAACACAACCAAATTAAATTAATTATCAATCAATCAAAATATATATATTTAGAACAGTGGATAAATGAAACAAAAACCCAAAGTAGACTACATTGTTATTTGACCCACTGTGTCAGAGATATAAAACAAAGAATGATCCTGACCTAAAATGCAGGGCACAGTGACCACAACTAGCATAGAAACTGATTTGCCAAATTTAACCCCAAAATAGAAACGGTCAATTGTGAAGGGACAACAGCTCCTTTTTAGCAGCCCTAATATGTATCTGCTGCCACAGCCTGAGGGACTCACAAACCACCCATAAATAATTAAGTTATTGTATTAAATGATATATATTGAAAGAGTGAGGCTTTGATAGAATTTGAAAAGCTAAAGGGAACATGCTATCTAAAGCGTTGATTAATAGAAAGAAGGTTGAACTGACGGCTGTTGGAGGACTTGTAACACACTGACGTCCCCTCCTGAAGGGAGAATGGCTGAGCACCGAGCCTGCTGTTCAGGTAATGGATGGCATTAGGAAAGAGACCACATAGGCTGTACAGCCCACGCAGTCAGCTGGGCAAGTGGGCAAGCAGACATGCCAAATTATGATCAAACACCTCTAGAATCTGTGATGAGGGATCTGTGTGGGGAGAAGCAGCTGGCAAAGGTTGAGCATCTTAAATTTAAGCTGGGTCCCACAAATGGTCTGAAGGGATTGCATGTTGGTAATGGTAATACGGGAAGTGCATGCAAAGTATTTCATTAGATTAGCAAGACGTGATGTAGGAGGAACTTTACTAAGAATTCCACTATGACAAAAGCATATTAAAAACTATTTGCGTAAAAGTGACCTTACTGTAGCTCAAAGTATCAGTTACCTCTTTAAAATCCCTCTTAAATTGTCTTTTGGTAGAACAACTTATGATATAAGGTTAATCTTACTACAGGACTTCAATAGTAGTTTTATAGATACTCCATGCAAATGTACATACGAAATGATAAGAGGACATTTTTGAAGACATATCCACCATAACAATGTCAATTTTTGGACATTATTAGGGAGTCTTCTGCAATAGGTGTTTAACTGCTTTATACAGATATAGATATATAAACCTATTTTTTTCATATATATTTTTTTCTGACAAATAAATCTCAGTATTCTGATGAAAATCTGAAACCACATTTATGTTCAACATATTACCAATTGCATACCTCCCACAGTCCTTACTATGAGGTTCTACTGTTCCCTCCGGTATATATTGTGGTGTCAGAGGAGTTAATAAAACCATCAAAATTTGGAAAAATACCTTAAGTCCTTGTCGGTGAGATCACATGCAGTGGTGTGTGAGGGTAGCGTTCGCCCTGGGCTCAAAGGTTTGGGTTCCTTGCTCTCATCAGGCATAAGTAGTGCATTTTCTGTGCACTCCTCTACTCGTAGTTCTCCTTCTCCGTCACCAGGGGTGCTGCCACCTTCTGGTTTGTAGGTGAAGATGATAGTTGGCTTCTGTGTGGGATCCTCTGGTTTGGCCTCAGTGAACCAGTGATGATGTTGAATTGGTGGTGGTGGAAGCATGTGAATGACTGTTCCGTCAAGCCCAACCAGCTTGCCTTTTTCCTTCTCTCTCTCCACCCTCTCTCTTTGCTCATCCTCATCTTTCCTCCGACGAAAAAAGCTCTTAAAGGAGATCCAGCGTTTGGGTTTGGAGCTATCTGTTGAAATACGTCTCCCCTCACCACCTGGACTTGCTTCACCTTCACTGGGTCTAACAGGAGAACTGGACGCGGAACTCTTGGTCCAGTTGCCAAAATGTCTTTGAAGGATGTTGGAAGCGTGGTAAGGAGAAGATGTAGATCTAGGAGGGGGGAAGGGGGCATTGGGCTCTGAACGGGGGCTGGAGAGTGGCACAGCAGCAGAGGCACTCTGGGATTTAGACAAAACCTTTGAGGGTGTGTCCTTCTTGGGCTTAGAAAGACAGCCGTCAGTTGTGGAAAAGAGAGATTTGGGTCGGGTGAGGGTCTCTTTCATGGCATCAGGAGGCAGGGCATACAGTTCTTCAGAACTGAGGGTTTTGGTTTGTGCTGAAGGTGACTCTGGAGGAGACTGTGGAGGGTGGATGGAGGCAACAATCTGTAAAAGCACAGCACTGGCCTCCTCCCTATGGCTTGCCGTTGTCCCAGAAGACAAAGCTAAGTCTGTTTCATCATCTTTACTGCAAGTAGTGTCTCCACTCGTCTTGCAAGTGCGTGTAACAGCATTGGCAGTGGGGCTGGTTTTAGGTAGGTTTGCAGTAATGGCAAGAATGGCAGGGGAATTTGTTGATGTAGTGGGAGAGACGGCCCCAATGGTGGAGCTCATCACAGTGCTTGTCACAGTGCTAGAGTCTGTAGTGGTTCTAGTTTGTAAATGTGGTGCTTTTGACACTGCTTCAGGTGGAACTTTTGTCTCTTCAAAAGACGCTCTCTCCGATGTACCTCTACCAGAGACCGTTTTCTCAGTTGAGGAGGACTGGACACTCTCTGAGGAACCAATCTCTTCATAAGTATGGCTGGTTACCCTACTACCTACCCCTTTTGGCTGTGGCAGTTCCCCACTAAGTCCCAAGAAGCTCCTGTACACAGCTAGGTTGTCATATGCACTTGGATTTATAACAATAGGTACCTTAACAGCATTCTTGGAGCTCCGGGCATAAGCTGGCTCATCTCGGATAATAATGGGAAAAGGAGGCATGCCTGCATTATTAAAACTGTTAAACTTGATCTCTGATAAGTTGGGGGATTTCACAGGTACAGTTCGGGAGGAAGACAGCCCAGCAATGGGAGATGTGGGAGCTGACTTGTGGCTGAAATGTTGAGTAGGGATGGAGGGACCAGGATGACTCCCAACTCCTATATCAACTTTAGGTATCTTTTGGCGAGGACTTGTGCTTGATGTCCACACTTCCTGGTAGCGTATGCTCCCTGATTTCTTTCTGGAGGGACCTGACAGTGCTACAGATTTGGGTGATGTTGGCATTACAGGAGTAGATGGAGAAAGAGGGGAGGTTGGAGGCAGTGGCTGACCTAAAGGGGTGCTACAGAATGATGTAGGGCTCGAAGGCATTGACAGGTTTTTGGGTTTTGGAGTAGAGTCTGGAATCCGTTCGTCCTTGTTTGCCATGGATGCTGACACATCTACTACAGTGTAAGGCTTACAGATAAGAGACTTTTCTAAATTCACTACACGGTATGGTTTAGCTTGCTCCTCTGTAGGACTAAAGCTGATAGTGACTGGTTGACCTGGAAGGGCCTGGGGCATTGGCATGCCTTCTCTGCCTTCCTGGTCTTCTAATCTAATTGCCAGGACAGCTTTGTGTGTTTCAGTCACCTTGAGTGGACTCAGTGCTCTGTGGACGGGCTCGTTTTTTGGAGCAGTGCAGGGGACAGGTGCCTTTGAAGATGTGGGAGACAGCAAGCCATTTCGCAGAGCACCTGGGGCACTGCTCCCACTGCTGGAAATTGTTTGAGAATCCTCTGGTAGCGATGACGATGATTCCGGAGAAGTGGTAGACTCTGAATTTGATAGGAAACCACTACCTTGCATGTCATGAAGCCCATAGGGAAGAAGAGCTCCATTGGAGTCCATGGAGGGGTATCCATTCAAGATCTCATCATAGCTATCGTCATAGTCTACTGCACAAATCCGCTGAAGTGAGCGGTTGCGAAGTGGAACAGTATTCCACTTTTTCCCTGCAGCAAAGGGCACTGGAGACAATGTAGCAGCACGGAAATTTGCGAATCGTGGTTGGCCTCGCATACGTATCTCCACGGCTAGTAACTCTTCATCACTTTCATCCCAGCTCTCATGTTCGTCATCATCCCTTTCAGTGTCTTCCTCATCATCTTCATCATCATCTTCACCTTCACTGGAAAACTCTGGGTAGCAAAAGCGACCACCCTCTGTACTGATAACCTCGTTACTATCGCTAAGAGATACCCGTTTTTGAGCAGTGCCAACACCACCACTACTGCTGCTTCCCATGGCCAGACAACTTGAGGCTGGAAGGCCTCTTTCCAAGGACCGTCGGTATGAACTACTGATTCGTCCCCAAAACAAGTCCTTGGAACCAGAGAGGGGTGTGGGGCTAAGGCCAGGGCCCAACCCAGCAATCTCCTTTAGGACATCTGCCAGTCCACTGTTGTTGTTATTTCCACTAGGGGTCCTTGGGCTAAGTTGGCCATAACCCTCAATCTCCTCACTACCATCCTCTCCTTCGTTGTTGTTATTGGGTCCACCAGGCCTCTTACGGTTCAGTCCATTGCGATTCCAGACCGTAAAGGCTGATGTCTTGCCAGGTTCTATTACATTTGGTGGTCGTTGCAGGTTGCCATCTGAATCCAGTCCTGCAGAGGAGCAGGGCAGCATCATAGTGGGCTTAACAGCAATGGTTGGCTTCTTAGCCACCGGTGGACGGAAGTGTCCTGAGCGGGCAGACCCACTGCCAGCTCTCTGAGAGTTGTTAGTAAGGTTAGGGTTGGCTCTGGCCCCAGCAGCGGGTGGATTCTGTTGCTGAGTTGTTGGAGGCCTCTGCTCAGTAGGAGGCTTCCTTCCAGCACTTTGAGCCAGACAGTGCAGACTCTTAGGTTTAAAGCAGTTCTTGCACTCGCCTGGTTTCCACACGTGCTCGGTGAAGGTACTGCAGGCAGACATGGCTGCTGGTCCAGTAAGGCAGCTTGCTGGGTCAGTGGACAGGAAACCCCTCCATGAAGCTATTGGCTACAGGTGCTAATGGTAGTACAACAATGATGAGCACTACTCAAGCCTGAAGTATGGGGGATACTGGACCTGAAAAAGAGAAGAGGAGAGATATATATGAAACAATGTTTTAATTTATTGTTAATGTAATAGGAAAACTTCATTTGTTTTGACTGCTACAAATACTTCAACCAAGAAAATGGGATGGAGTAAGAAACTGTGTTAATTACAAAGTTATGTATATGCAGGAATAACAAAACTGACCCAAACAAGAAAAACAAAAACAGAGGAGAGAGAACTGAAGTAAAGAGGATACATTGTGTAAGACAATAAATTAGAAAGGTAGTGCTACATTGTCTCCATTAGGTGGCAAACTTTCTCTACTTAACAACCAATCTATCCAATGGGGTAGTCATCTGTCTCCTCCTAACCCTCAACTGGTCATGTAAGGCTTGAAAAGCAGAGGGGCAGAAATGAAGAGGATTAAGACAGCTTATTTCTGAATTACTGTCCTGTGTTGTTGTTGGCTGTTACAGGTAGGCTTAGGTGAGATAAAGGTAGATACTGATACTATCATTGAATCAAAACCTCAATGTCCTAAATCCTATGTACTAGATCAGTTACATGGCAAATGGAAATCAAGTGTTTCAACTAAATTCGCATGCACTGAAGTTTGACAAAAAGCATGGAAGTAGAGTTTTCAGGCTCATATATTTACAGTAAAGTCTTAAAGTAGAGCAACACTTAAATGTCTGTCTCTGTATTTCAGCAATCTAGCTGGAAATTTAACAACGACTGGGAGGAGTGTTTGAGGGGGCTAAAATCCATACTGGATGAACAGTGTAAGACATGTAGCTCTTCCTATACAGTACATAGTCACTACAATTGCAGAAAAATTCAGCAAGACAATGGTGCAAAAATACAGGCAATGCAAGGAATCTGAAAGTTGGCCCATGGTAAGTCTTTACGTTCCATTTCAGAAAAGTGATGACTTACATTCCTAAATGACGAAAACAACTCCCTCTTCTGCACTACATAAAGGCAATAAGCTGTCAGCAATCAATATTCAGACATTATACAAAACACTGGTTTCAAATGGCGACCCCCCCCAAAAACAAAAAACAAAACGTATTGTTGTTCTTGTTTAATGAGTAAATCAACCTACATACAAAAGAAAAGGGTTTTTAAATTCACACCATTCAGTCTTTGTAATAAAACAAAGACTGACATTTTAAAACTTGGGCACAAGCATGGTCTCAGGTTATCGGCACCGGCACATACATATCAAACACTTCCTGTTTTCTTGGCTGGCCAGGTCACACTGTGTGACATCAGGAAACCACATCCTTTTGGTTTTTATTTACACAGTGCAAAAGAACCGATATCAAATCCTTTCCAATCTGCCACACAGTTTAGAACCCTTTGGATAAACTGTGTGGGTGTGTAATTTGTTGTTCTATCAACATGTAAACACAGTTGTGACTTCTCTCTTCTAATCTTATTCAAAAAGGGAAAAGAAAGGATTAAACTACCTTGCGGAATACTTGTTAACACACTTGTTTTTCTTCAGGACCCCCTCATGAATCTAGTGGAGGCGGAAAGAAAGCCATTAGTATTCAAATGTGCTTTATCCTGATTGACCATTCCACTTCCTCACAACCAATAACCATAAGCTCTTGAATACTATATTAACATCAAATCCATGGATAATAAGTTGTGTGTTGCTCAAATAACCAAATAAAAAAACGCGTCACATAAACACATGTTTAACAAAGGAATCTGTTAAGTTAGTGTACATAACCTGGTACAGTTTTCACATTATTTCTACTGCTCGGGACGGATCCTTCCAGGACAGTTGTTGTTGTTATTGACAAAAAAGTACAACATCTTGAGTGTGGATAAGAAGAAAGTGTACGTCTGAGGAGATAACCCATATACATAGCGCGAGTTAACTCTTAGACACTGTGTGACTTTGGATGATGATAAATCAAAATAAACTAATAACGGCCACACAAAGATTGCACAGCGACTTCCTGAAGAGCTCAATATACAATAATTGAAAAATGGATTCAATATGCTCGTAAATACTAGTGCTAGAATTTAACAAAATAAATATTACTTTAAGCAAAAGTATGTGTGATGATTCTGTCCCTTTATGGGTGACCCAAACCGCCATTTCATCAAATAAATCTAGGGCTATGACTCATTGTGGGCTGATATTGACATGGGTGGGTGAATCAGACTTCTCATCCATCTAACAAGGTCATGGTGTCAGATCCTGTACGGAAGGATGTTACCATGACAACACCCAGTACCTGCCCAGGGCCAGACACAATAAAGCAGGAACTCTTGAATCAAACTTTGCTGACTTAGCCGTGATGGGCGGTGGAAGATTTATCCTGCCATTATCCCGCACCGGCCACATCCTCACAGGAAACAAGGACCGTAATTCAAATATTATCATTTGAAAACTGTGATGTGACACGTAAGCAACTAAAAGTACAATTAGTAAATGTATTACTAATTCCAGCATGTGTTTTTCCAAATAGCATGCATTTTGCTCATTTACATCAACAGCATCCAGAATCCTTTTCTCAACTCCAGGCCTCTATTCATCTTGAAACAGGACAAATTTAAGAGTTTGTTTTGCACAGCTGTAAGGCAGCTGTTGCTCAAGTGTTTTTCATGAGGGAAAAAAAAAAGGACAGCAGAGAAAGGCACATAAAACAAGTGGTATTAACATGGGTATTTTAATAATTTCTTGCACATTGAGAAAAAGCTGAATTGCTTTTATGAGATCTATACCAGACAGACCGTCTTTATAACTACATTATTTTTCTCGTGACAGATAGCAGAAGGGGTGGCAGAGGGAAAAGTTTTCTTTTGAAATCAAGATAAAGCCCTCTTATTGTGTTTACTTTCTCCAAAGCAGCTAAATGGAATTATGAAAAGCAGCTCCCAGGCTGCATTTTAATAAGATAACTCATGCCTTTGTGTTTCTGCTCACGCTTCTGAGAACCAAGAAATATCTGATATCCAATATATGTCACATACACTTTTCCATCAACAGAAACACCCACTGGTGGATGTGACAGCATATTTTACTTTTCCCTCAGCCACCATTAAAATTCTGTCGTTGTTTTGATTTCATTTTTCTTTCCATCCACAGAGGGGGGCTGATATGACACTGCCTCGATGAGCTGGCAAAATGTACTTATATTTTAGTTTCTCATTAAGCCGAGGGCAAAAAGTAGTGCCATGTTGCTACTGACAAGACCCCACAACATTTAATCTGGGATGACAGTTATGCCCTGGGGACACCAACAATCCCATCTGCCCAACAATCCTTTCCTAAACCATGCAGTCCAGCTCACAGTGCGGGGCACATCATTATATTATGATAACTCCCGACACCATAAGGGTTGGTGGGGTGGGCTCTTTGAAACAAGCAATCCCTCTTTCTTATGTAATAGTCTTTGTCATTTTCGTTTGACCATGAAAATGATTCTGTGGTTATACTCATTGCAATAAGTGTTCTTACTCAGGACCATCAGCCAAATAACGGACTGCTATTTTTGTGTTACTTTCATTATGTAACACATATTACACAACACAATTGAAATATCATGAATTACAATACAGCAGTTACAAACACAGAACACTTCGAGTACTACAGACGGATGTGTTGGATAAACATGCAAGATGTGTCATCCAACACACACTCAATACTGTAAAGATTATATTTTTCTCCTTAGGTGTTTGGGATTGTTCTATGATATTGGCAGTGTCTTATCGATCCAGTCTTTGCGTGTGTCCACAGTGTGACTTTGATTGGGGAAATATGAAGAAGCACTAGGGGATCATTGGAAAACAAGGTGCAGTCGAACATATTTTTCTCTCTCCCTTCTGATTTCTGCCTGTTCCTTTTCCCCAGCCGTCTGAGTCCACTATCAAATATTCATTGAAAACTATTAAATAAAGAGTTACAGTCGTTTAAAATGCACGTTATTTCTTGAAAGTTTAGAAATTTATAAAATGTGCAGGATATCATTTGTCGGCATTGGTGAAACATTGTTTTTGCTGTCTGCTTAGTTATTCTCCTCACTGTTGTTTTTGTTTATCACTGACTAACTTGTCATGCATATTTGATGAGGCAAAGGCATTAGTGTTGATACTTTAAATGGATACATATGTTTAAAGACTGATGAAAGATATAACTGAATTCTATAAAATGAGACTAATTTTTGCTCAGAAAGAGCAACCAAGATAGAGAAATGTGGTCCCAGATTTGTCCTCAGTGTACCTGAAGACACGGGCAAGTGACAGTATTGTAAGATTAATAATAAAGTTATGAATGTAATTTGATTGTTATGTTGACATGCCATTTAATATAAGTAATAATGATCTGCCAGTGATTTAAAAATCTCTTGGAAGAATGTAAAACTTCAAGTTCATCATAATTTTTGTTAAAGAGAACCAAACATTTTTCAAATATAAAATATATATGTTTCCAAATATAATCTGGCAGCTTCAAGTTGGAGTGTGGAGCTGAAACTAGTCACAGGCAGAGAGCCTGTTGATCAGCATAGTGTGTGTGTGGGAACAAGGCAAACACAAAAAGAGCTAAAGCCTAGTATTTGTTCCCTCTGCACTCTGAATCCCTCTGTACAGCAGTATACTGCAGCCAGTTGCTGGTCATAACAATAGATAAGAATAATAAAAAAAAAAAAAACGACATCAAAATGATTAAATAAATATCAATTCATTTTGGTCCAGCTGGTTTGAGCTGGTTTTTGGTGTGCAGCAAGCCCCTAATGCTGTTATGTGCCATTTCTATCCTTTGAGAAGGATCTCATTCCTCCTGGAATGTCAACAGGTGACCCACAGCATGAGTGAGTGGACCAACATTAGGTTTTAACATTCAGCACACATACACAGCGCGGCTCTAAATACAAGGACCACACAGGGATTTGAGTGCTAGTGTCTAAGTGTGTGTGTGTGTGTGGACTTAATACTTGAATGAGAAAGCCTGTTTTTCCCTTTAGAACAATTTCAGTGGACTATGATGAATTTGAAGAACGTGTTCCTGTGTACATTTGATCCAAATAGCATTGAGCGACACTCAGGTATCACATCAACATGCACACAGATGCTTCTTTGTGGAGCGAGTAGCTGTAAAAGGTGAAAGGTGAGGTTACAGATGCCTTATTGCAGAGGCTGCTCTGTCCCCGTTGTTAACCTCAGCTGCCCCAAAGTCTGTCCTGCTCCCCTCTCCTGCTTAACTAGCTCTCTCCATTTACTAAAGGCTCTTCCTTCTCAGCTCAGTTTTGTCCTACTCCATTCTCCCTTTTTCAGAAATGTTCTTTGTTGCTTGTCTTTGTTGTTGTTTCCCCTCTGGCTCAAATTTTCCCACTCTCCTCTTTCTCCATCTCCTTGTTCCTTCCCACTCAGTTTCTACTCAGGCTGTTTTTCTTCAGGCTTTTTTCTCACTTTTGCTCTCTATCCCCTGAGATATGTAAATCTGCCTTCCCCTTCCCTCCATCCCTCTTCGCTTCAAACAGTATTTTCGAGAAATGACTGTCAGACTAAAAACCACCGGCAAAACCCAAACTAGATGGTGAACGCAGACAAATAAATAATGAAACCCTCTTGCCGAGCCCTGACCAGCAAACACACACACACTTAAATATTGTAAACACCAAAAACCTGGTTTGGAAACTTATATCCATTTCCTCATGTGTAACTTTTGCATGCGATTCAGTTAACAATGAACAGGAGAACAGGAATACAGCCACCTGCTTGTCCACAAGGACACACAGAGGAGAGTGCATCATTTGGCTTGAAGTAAATCTGTCCAGGACAAACATAAATACTATAAATCATTTATTTGTCCTCGTATTCACTCAGTAAGCTGTATTGCTGTTTGCCTGTGATTACATAACCCTGGTCTGATCCTCTGCTCCTCCTGTCCACATGTCAACGTGCCCTTAAGCAGGACGCTCCACCCTGAATTGCTTTTGATGGTAAGGCAATCACCTTACTAGATAGCTTGCTGCCACTGGTGTGTGTGTGACTGGGTGAATGAGAGGCAAATTGTAAAGAGCTTTGGATGAAAGCGCAATATAAATGCACTCCAGTCGCTCCATCAATTGTAATGATTTTTGGAACCATTTCCATTGTCAGATTGGCTCATCTGCAATCAGTGTGTTTGATGCATCTGGATTGCATGCAAACACATACCGAACATAAACCAGCTTCTTCTACTTCCAGATTTGCCGATATTGAGGAATTTATACTTGTGACCTAATTACGACTGCAACCTCTGATTATTTTTATTATCCATTAATCTGCCAATTTCTTTCTTTGTAAAGCGATTGATTGTTTTGTAGGTAAAACATCAGAAAAAATAAATCATTTCAGAGCCCAAGGTGACATATTTAGATTAATTGTTTAATATGAGCAGCAGTATAAAACAAAAAAAAATCATTAAATTTACTTAAACATGACAAAGAAAATCTTAAAATTGTACGTAAAAACTGTACACTAACTAATAATCTAAATAATTACCAATTCATTTTCTGAAAA